TATATATATATATTGATTTTTTAAAAAATTCTTTTCAGTTGATTTTAATTTGAAATATTAAATTGCTAAAAGGTGTCATACGTATTCCGCAGAACATGGGTCTACCTTGTGACTGGCAGATAAGCAAGCAAAAGATATCAGAACGTGGTAAATATTTGCTTGAAACAGGACAATGGTCAGATTGCAAATTTATTGTTGGTCAAGGACCACATCAGGAGACATTGAAGGGACATAAATTGTTTTTGGCGATGTCCAGCCCGGTATTCGAAGCAATGTTTTATGGAGGTATGGCAGAAAAAAATGATCCTATACAAATACGCGATGCTCAACCGGATGCATTCAAGGCACTATTAGAGTATATATATACTGATCGTGTTAATCTTGGTTCATTTGAACTTGCCTGCGAATTATGCTATTGCGCTAAAAAGTACATGTTACCGTCCTTGGTGGAAGAATGTATGCAATATCTGTGGTTCGATTTGTCTCCAAAGATAGCTTGTAGAGCATATGAATTTGCTAAACTTTTTGAAGAACCCGTGCTCATGGAAAAGTGTTTACAAATAATATGTACTAAAACTAATGAAGTTTTAGAAGAATCTAGTTGGGAGGAAGTCGAATTGGGTACAGTTATCACCGTTTTAGAACAAGTCGATTTAGAGATAAGTTCAGAACTCGAACTGTTTACTGCTGTTGAGCGTTGGGCTAAAGCAGAATGTGTAAGAAAATCATTAGATCCAACCGATGGAAAGTCATTAAAATCTGTTATCGGTAATGCTTTATCCAAAATCAGATTTTTAACACTGACACCGCAAGAATTTGCCGAAAGTCCAGGAATGTCACCTCTTTTGACCCAAGACGAAGCTTTCGCTATCTTGATGAATATATTATGCACAGAAAATAAATCACCATTACCAGAAGGATTTTCCAGCGATACGCACAATAGGGCTAAACCATTAAAAGCACAATCTGTACATTTTTTTCCATCCGTGAGTATTGTGAATTTATTGTGCTATGAAATAATTTCTTTTATACTCATTTGAATTTCTACATTACATTTCTTCTTTATTGAATTTTAATCAATAGAAACATAGACGAGTATCAACTCCACATACCAATTCATTTAGTTCATGTACATTTTGGCCCTCAACATCACGACCATACCAATTGTCCTTTGATGTCGAAGGAGAAAGTAGTAATTCTTTACATAATGCACCACCTATGGTAGTTGAAGGAGGAGTAAGAAAAGAATCTGGAAATCTAAGTCAAACGAATAATCCATCAACGGCTATAATAGAAGGTGGTGGAATTCGTGAGGGACCAAAGTATTATTGTCTTCGAGCGATAGCCCATCCAACAGATTGCCTTAATAGCAATGTATTAGATTGTTCAGTGACATTCAGTGTGGATAAAAACATTTGTATTATGGGTGTGCAAGTTCCAACACAAATTGCTATTGCGGTATGTTCATTTTTTTTTTTATTAATATAGATATATAAAAATATTAGTTAGTCTATATTTCATAAAGAAGAAAATAAATGTTTATAATAAGTACATATTACTCTTTACAGACAAGTAATTTACATCAAAATTCGGATCCTGAAAGATCATATACGGAAATACTGTATGCTCATCTTTTAGATTCTGATGGCAGTCGTTTAACATACACACATTTTACTACTAAAGTAAATGTTGGAACTCTCGTCGAAATTACATTTAATCGTGCTGTTTACATACAAAAACATAAGGTCTGTTTTCTTTTTTTTAATTCTTATTTATCAAAGACAAATAAGTATTATCATCTTATTAAAAATAACATTATTATCTTTTTTTTTCAATACAGATTTATCGTGTAGGGGTAGTCTTTAACAAAATTGGTTGGTACCCGATGGGATTGTGCACACAACATATGACCTGTGATTCTGTATTCTTTTCATTTGGAATTGGTAACAGTGACCACAGTATCAGAGATGGTCTCATTCGTTCAATTGTGTTCACTTATTAACGTTGACAATTATATTGTCAAATCTTAACAAATTTTAAATATGTGTTTTAAATTTGTGATAAGACAAATGTCTATCTTATTCTGTTACGTATATTACATTGTTAGTATATATTATATTTTTTCTTTTTAATTTTATTTCAATCATCATCAAGATATTGGAAACGTGAGAAATTGTACAAATAATAATCATTGGTTCTACTTATTGAAAAAAAAAACAAAAAAACAAAAAGAAAAAAAATGCTAAAGAAAAAAGTAGCTATGGACAAATTGTAATTTAATCGTTTCCTAATTACATGTAATTAATTATATTCGAAAGCTATATATATATATAATAAGGAAACTTAGTATACGTAATTTAGAATATTAGTTTTACCATTTGACATCGACAAATTAATATAAATACGTCTAAGAAAAAAAAAAAAAAAAAAGAAAAAAAAAATATGAATGAATTAAATGTTATAAGTTGCGAGTAATCTGGAAATAATTGAATTATAAATTGTTCAACAGAGATGATAAATCTGTGTACAAACATAAAACTTTTTTTAACTTGTATGAAAATGTCGAGTTTTCTGTATAAAAAAAAAAAAAAACAAACAAAACAAAAGAAAAAGAACTAAACTTGGAATTAACAATTTAAAATGCCCTTATTAAAGATTTAATCGCATATAAACGGAATGTAGTATTGACTTTCCCTTTAAAAAAAAAAAAAATTAAAAAAAAAAAGCAACAAAAAAATAATAAAAAAATAAAAAAAAGAAGTTTGGAATTTAAAANTATTTTTTAATTCTTCTTTCTGTTACATATTTTCAAATATTTTATTTAATAATGAATAGTAAAATTGAAAAAAAAAAAAAAAAAGAAAAATATAATATAATCAGTCTCTCATAAAATGAATTTGTTAAAATGAATCACATTTTGTTTTTTGTTTATTTAAATGTATATTTAATCGTATGTCATTTTTAAATGCGCGCAAAATTAAGTTAAAAAAAAAATATATTCTCTAATATATATATATATATATATATAATTAAAAAATTATCATCTATTTATGTTCTTATTTTTAACATATTATTATCTGAGTATTTGCTGTGTACACTTTGTCGCATTTAAACGGTATGAAAAACTTTTAATAAATCTCTTTATATTAACGCTTCTCTTAATTAATTCTAATTATTATATATACATTTGGATATTATTATTACTATAATTATCCAAATGTGCATATATACTTCATATCCAACGCATAGGCAAAAAAAAAAACTTCCTATTTTGCAATTACATCAATATTATATACAGAGCGTCCTGTAACTTATGGTACAAGTAAGTAAGGAGTGATTATACATACAAAATTAAGTCGGAAATGTGGAATAAAATTTGTTCATATATAATTTTCTATGTATTATCATCTTCTGCTTGCTTTTACCATAAGTTATTACAGAACACTCCGTATATAGAATTAATGTGAATAATAATCATCAAATTATAATTACTAAGATTTGTGTATGATAAAGTCCCACGTATCTTTCCATTTTAATTTTAATATGTCCTTGGTACTAAGAGGTACTACTCCATAACTGAGTGCACCAAATTTTCGGAATACATAAATAACGAAGATTAACCATGTAATAGTACTAATTGTCACTGCATATAAAATCATCGTATTATTAGTATATCGTCTTCTGAAAGTAAAATTAATTATGCATTATTTTTTAATGTCTCATTAAAAAAGAATTAAAATCTTACATATTTCACATTTCATTTCATTTCATTTCATTTCATTTAAATAATGATAAATTAATTACCTTATTAAATAATAAATATGATCTATCATGACAGCTATTAAAAGAACTTTAAAAACAAATGCCGGCAAATAATGATGTAAAAATAATGTTCTTTCTATAAATATGAATGGTAAAAAATGTAATAAGTAACCAGATAATAATATACCACCGGCGTTAAGAAATCTATTCCATTCTCCATTAATAACATCAAAACACATTCTTCTTCTTCTCATAATATAAAATATTAAAAGTGCCGTATACACTATTAAAGCTGCTGTACCGGAATACCATATTGCTATGTTTCCTAAAAGATGAATTTGTGCCTGTAAATAAGGAGAAGAGAAACTTTATACATGTATAAACTATTTCATTTATTTACGTTACTAAAAGGATTTTTCTAACTCACATTGCTGTCGTTAGAAACCCAATATGCTATGCCTCTAGACATGAGTGGCCATTCCAATGGACCACTTGAATACATATGACTATTTTGTCCCTCTTGACTACCAAATAACATTTTTATTTGCAATTCTATAAATTTTTCCCAAAATGTTAACGTAGTTGCGCGCAATGGTATCATTTCTGCATTAATAAGTTCTCTTTCTCTTTGTTTTTGATCTTCATTTTTAGTATATCTATGTTCTTCGACATTCCATATTGAATTCAATTGATCCACCAATCTATCTGCTACAACTTCGTATTGATTGAAACCCCAATCTGGCAACTGTCTACCACTAAATTTTAACGCATATTCAGTATTTACATGTATCAAGCGTACTTGACTTTGAATAGCATGCCATATATCACCCGATTGATCTTTGTTTGTTATTTCTACTCTCCAAAGATTTTGAGCAGGCATGGATACATTGTAATCGATATAACAAGATACTTCTTGGCTTTGGGGTGTCATAGGTGCAGCAACGTCATGTGAATTTAATGCACGACTAGTAATACCATGAACCAATTGTATTACATCTCCATGTTTTATTGGCTCGCTAGGTTTTGTAACGACCAAGTCATTTCTATCAGGTCTTTTTATTATCCACCAATTATTAACATCTTTAAACGAATAACAAGTAACTTGTTGTTGATGAGAACTTCCTCTACCATCTGGATATCTTAATGGATACATATGACTATGACTATGAAGCCAACACGCTCTTCCATAAGTATGCCTCAAAGTAATTTGTGAACCATGTGTAACTTCTAAAGGTTGTCCCTTAGTAATACTCGCAAGACCACCTTCTAAACTTGCCTGGAATGCACTGGTCATTACTGCATCATGCGGACCAGCTTTATAAAGTGTTTCTAAATGTATATAGAAGACACCTAAATATATAGTACTCATCACACCGATTATTAAAACAATTCTCAATAATAGATGACCAAGTAATCTTATAGTGGATAAAGTCTTCCTAGGTATCAAAGACCAATAATCTCGAGCAATAAGGTAAATGGCAAGAATTAATGTATAAAATCCAACGTACTTAACGCTGAAGAAAAAAAAATGCATCTTATGAAATAAATTTCTAATAATAAATGAAATGAAAAGAATGATATAAAAGATAAATACCATACGGCGCATGTTAAACTTGCAATTCCTAAAGACAACCACAACCACCATGACAATCTTGTCGGTTGATCCATAACTTTTCTAAACTTTATTATACATAACAATCCAAATAATGAAAATTGAATCAATATACTTTCCATTAAGATAAATCTTGATTGTGTAAGAAGTGCATTATCTAAAATATTAATATAATATTAAAAACATCTTATCATCTTTTAAATATCAAACATCTTTACAATAGATTCAAATAATTACCAAATAACAAAAGTATTCCTGCAATCATTGCAGTCCATTGTTTCAGACCTAATTCTAAGGCAAGATGATAAGCTGTTGGTATTATCAAACTTCCACATAAAGCAGGAAATAAACGTAACGCAAAAAGAGGAACCATATCAGCATAAGGGCTTCCTATTCTATCAAATTTAAATTGTCCATCAAAGCCAGCTATATAAGCGACAATAGAAATAAGTTGTTTTCCCAAAGGTGGATGTGAATCAAAGAAGAATGTTCGTTTCATATACATTCCCACATATTTACCATAATGCAGTTCGTCAAACCTAAATAACATTGTTGACATCAGTCAAATTATTAACAAAAGAATCATCATCAATAATATGAAATTAAACTAACACTATACTTCTTGGTTCTTGCAATCTATAGAGACGTGTGACGAGAGCAGCGATCAATAAAATAACAGCTATTAGATCAATTTCCAAATATATCTTCAATCTAGCTCGTTTCTCATCATTGATTATCTTAATTTCATCTTCAGGCAAATAATTTTCATTATCTTTTTGCAATACAATTTCTTGCTCGTTCTATAATAAAAATATAAGTAATTAGTTATGTATATATATATATATAATACTGAAGTATTTGTTTATAATTATATAAATATAATTGATATAAATATAGTATTAAAATAATTATTTATAATGTATATTATACTTAGTTATTAATATAAATTATTTATATAAATATAGTACTAAAATATTTATTTATAATGTATATTATACTTAGTTATTAATATAAATTATATATATAAATATAGTACGTTATTTATAATTATATAAATATAATTTCTATAAATATAGTACTAAAATATTTATTTATAATGTATATTATACTTAGTTATTAATATAAATTATAATTTTTTTATAATATAATTACTAATAAATATTACTAATAAAATAATATTTTTAATTACTAATAAAATAATAAAATAAAAAGTTATATATATATATATATATATATACAGCTGTTTAATATAAATACAATTAACAAAAATGTGACATTAAATTTATGTAAAATTATGATTGAAATAATTTGAAAAAATAAGAGAGAGTAGGAGAGCATATAAAAGAAAAAAATCCTAGATTGATCGATAAATTAATTACCTCTTCCTTTTGTATCCTGGTTGTAAGATAATCGCCGGTACCGATCTCATCGCAATCAAATTTCGCGCTTAACCGCGACAAACGTTTGTTATCATTTGTTTTTATACGTCTGCGACGAACTTCCATTGCAACAATAAAACAATGTAATAATATTCGACAGAATGTAATTATTATTAAATAATATAAATATATATATATATTACTTGTTGATCTATAACAACAACATTTTATTTATACTTTGTTGAAAACGTTTGGCGACCATCCACGTCATCGATTAATGTACATAAATCGATTATATCAAATTTCTACGAGTTCAACAGAATTATTTATCTTTTCCTCGAAAGATATATTATCACCGATGCACGATACAAATATGTATTTACATAATATTCCAATAGATTTATTTACTTGGTGAATGTGTTACACTGTGTCAAACTACCAGGAAACTCATTTTTATCCTTTTAAGTTGAAAGAACTTGTGTGTATTCTTTCATACCCTCAAGCGATTGGCTTAAAGGTTAATGCAACACTGTCCTAAATAACGGTACTTTAAACCTATAATATTATCTTACAATTAGATTTTTTTTTTGTTCTTAAGGACATCTTTTATCTTTTCATATTTTGTTTACATCATCTTCCGTTTTTTAGGTTAAATTTGTGTTCATTCAAAATTGACTAAAATTACATAATTACTAATTGTGTATAAGTACAAATATTTATGTGTATATATTATGTATACATCATTTTCTACATTTATTTACAGATTAAATGATGAATAACGAACAAGTATCCTGTCCAGTATGTCAAATTGAATTTCCATCATCTTCAATTGAATCTCACGTTGTTAAATGTTTATTTTTACTTGATTCAAATAATGCGGGTATTTCAAAAGAATCAAGTCCAAGTCCTGGAAGTAATAAATCATTTAAATCAAAAAGTTTGTTTAACAAAAAGCCTGATCATAGGATTACAAAAAGAAAACTTAGTTCAGGACAAACATTTTTAACTGCTAAGGGTGATTGTACAAAACAAGATAGTAGTACAAAGGAAGATGATACAAAACAAGATAATATTAAGCAAGATTTGGAGACAAAAGAAAATATAGTATATAATTTGAATAATAATTATATCATATATAATTCTATTTTATGAACATTTAAATTGTTATTATCAATTGATTTTATTTATAGATAGAAAATCCAGTTAAGAAAGCTCGAATGAATGAACATATACCTCTTGCTGAAAGAATGAGACCATCTAATCTCTCAGAATACGTTGGACAGGATCATATTCTAGGACCTCAATGCACTTTGTTTCAATTACTGCATAAAGGAGAAGTACCTAATATTATTTTATGGGGACCACCTGGATGTGGTAAGGTAATATATATATATATATATATTATTTATTTATACAACAAATATAATAATGCTTTATATTGTACATTTATATTGTATTGTATGAATAATAATAAATGAATCTCTTTTGTATAGACATCATTGGCAAATGTAATAGCACACATCTGTAAAAATAATACCAAAAGTAGGATGCGTTATGTAAAGTTATCAGCTGCCATAGCAGGAGTTAGTGATTTAAAAGAAGTGATTAACATAGCTGCTAACGAATTGAAATTTGGTAGACGTACAATAGTATTCATGGATGAAATACATCGTTTTAATAAAACTCAACAAGACGTTTTTCTTCCTCATGTTGAATCAGGAACGATTACTCTTATTGGAGCTACCACTGAAAATCCTTCGTATAATTTAAACTCTGCATTGTTGAGTCGTTGCAGAGTTGTTGTATTAGAAAAGTTATCTATATCTAATTTAGTATCAATATTAAAATGTGCATTATCCTCATTAGGAGGAATAATACAAATTTCATCAGAGTCTAAAAGTAAAAACAATTTCTATAACAATAATAATTTAGAAGCAAGTGGATCTAATACATCGTCAAATCCAAGATTCATCGTAGATGAAGCTACCATAGAATGGTTAGCAGAAACGTGTGATGGTGATGCTAGAATAGCTTTAGGTGGATTAGAACTTGCTATACAATCTAAAACACCAAATAAAGAAGAATTTGTAGAAACTGATCCTGTAGTAATTACGTTAAATGATGTTGAAGAAAATCTAAAAAAAACACATATGTTGTATGACAGAAAAGGAGACCAACATTATGACATGATTTCAGCTTTGCATAAAGCAGTAAGAGCAAGCGATGAAAATGCTTCACTTTATTGGTTAACTAGAATGATTGAGGGTGGTGAAGATCCAGTTTATATAGCAAGAAGATTAGTTAGAATGGCGAGTGAAGATGTTGGATTAGCGGATCCCAAAGCTTTGAGTAAGAAGATATTAATAATTTATTTAAAAAAAAAAAAAAAAAATGCAAATATGTTTGTTATTGAAAAATGTTACATTTACATAATTATTATAGGTATTGCCGTACATACTATGAGTGGTTGTAAAATGATAGGTATGCCAGAATGTGATGTTCTTTTAGCACAATGTACAATTTATTTAGCTCGTGCACCAAAGTCTAGATTGATGGAAGATGCGCTTAGAGCGGCTCAGAAAGTAGTGGCAACTCATAAAGGTCCTCAACCAGGAGTACCATTACATTTAAGAAGTTCTGGAACAAAACTTTCTAAAAGTCTTGGTAATTCCAAAATTTTCTGCTTCATTAATTTGTCAAAATTATTCTTTTATCATTTATATATATATATATATATTTTTTTTTTGTAGGGTATGGTAAGGGATATAACATGAAGCATAAAGATAAATCTGGATTGAATTATTTACCAGAAGGATTAGAAGATATTGATTTCTTTGCAAATAAGGATCTTAGGTCTTAAGGTCTACAAATATTTTTTTCTTACAAAGCTGGTATTTGTTTGATAATTTCAGATATTATTATTATTATTATTATTATACATTATAGGATATACGTAAAAGTATTAATAGATGAATATATATATATAAATATAGATTTAGATAGTAAACACTTTTTTTTTATCTAAATCTATTTTTAAAGAATTATTTGATATATTCTTACAGTACTATATTATTATATATTATTATGCAATACTTTACGTGAAAAATAAGATTTAAATTTTTGTCCAAATAACTACTTTGTTATTGGAAGGCATATCAATGGTTTCTACAAGATTAATATTGTTTTCTTTTGCTAAATTTTCTAATTCTCTCAACTCTCTAAGACCAAAATCAGGATTTATAGATTTTAATGATTTATTGAATTTTATATTACTCTCCGGTGTGATAATACCATCAATAGCATAAGGGCCATATGTAAATAAAATACCATTAGATTTTAATAATTTTCCAACATTTTGAAATAAACCTATGGAGCATTGATATGGTGCACAGTGCATCATATTAGAATTGTATATGTAATCTATACTATTTTCCGAAAAAATACCATTACCCCATAATCGATAATCAGTGGTAATGTCTATATGTAAAGGTTTTTTTACATTGGAAAATCCATTAGCATGTGCGGCAATACTTTCTAATAATTGTGTTTCATTTTCTGAAGGATAAAATGTAACATGTGGAAAATGAGGAGCAAAATGTGCTATGTGTTGTCCTGAACCGGAAGATATTTCCAAAAACTTCTGAGATGTACCGGGTTGTATGTATCGTCGTAAAACTGATAAAATAGGATCCTTATTACGTTCTGCTGCTGGATATATCAGTTTTTTAGCAGCCATACTTGTTGACCTACTTTTTCATAAAATAATATTTATAATTCTCTATCATTATTTTTCAAGAATATGAATTTAAAAAAAAAAAAGAAAAAAAAATAAAATAAAAGAATATACAAGAGAAATTATTTTCTTAAAATAGAGGTGTTTTCTCACCTGTGATTAGCAGCACAGTGAATTATGTTCATTGCTGATTATCACATTGGTGCATAAACATATATCGGAGATATTTAACAATCTGAAAAATTCAATAAGTTTATACAGGATAATGAAATATAAAGAAGAAGGAAGAAAAGTGTATATCTATGGAGAAGAAAATTTATTTTTATTCGCTAATAAGACTGAAATCATTTTTTTTTTGTTTTTTGTTTTTTTAGTTTTTATAAATTATTACAATTGATTCTCCTACAATTTATTAATTTACTATATAACAAATTGTTAGAAGTTTTCGTTAATTTTAATAATTATTTCTTTTATTCGAATTTCTTTTAGATTTAGATACGTGTTCTTGATTCTTTTTAACTGCTTTATTTTTTAACGATTCCGGTATATAAACCGAATGACCTGTTTTATTTAAATGTTCAAACAATTTGTTTTTGCTAGAAAATTCAGCTTTGCAGGAAACACAAAAATGTGCCAAATCTTGAACGTCTGCTATCCTAACATCTTTTTTACTTTTACATTTGTTTTCATTTCCTATTTTATTGCGTAACTTTTTCGAATCCTTTTCTTTGCTATTCTTTAGTTTTTCATTGGAAATTTGTGCTTGTTTTATCACATTATCGGTACTTTCAAAATTCATCTGAGTCATTTTATTCTCCAAACTTTTCAAGTCAGTTTCGTTATTAGTCTCATCACTGCAATTTTGTTTTTCTGCTTCTTCACATATTTCTAAATCTTCCTTATTCGTAGTAATCTTACTTAAGGCAGCTTTACGTTGTTGTTGCTTTTTCCGTTGTTTCTTAGACAACCATATGTGTTCGTCAAAACTGTTATCCTCTTCATCGCTATCATTCTCTACATTTTGTATATTCCTTCTCTTCTTTTTCTTTTTCTTTTGTTTAGTCTGTACTATCACTTCTTCTTCATCTTGATCAGACATTAATTCATCCTCAGAAGTTAAATTTTCCTCTTCATTATCTTTCTTTATTATTATTGGTTCATCAAACAATTGAGGACCAGTAGCAAGATTACTTTCATCTATATTAGATAGTTTTGCCCAAGCATTTGGAAGAGGAGTTTGAGACGTGTCATCATCGTCACATGTTAATTCACCTTCTGAAACCTCATGTTCATTATCATAGCTAGTAGTATTGCTTATGTTAGAATTGAATAAAAAGTCAGGTAATTGTGAATCTGTTGCTAACTTAACTTCATCTCCTGGAGTATTGTATGAAGTTGTAATAGTGGACATTGATTCGGAACTTGTATCAGTTTCTTCTGTATTTTCTTGTATACTCTTATCTTCCTGTACCATAGATTGTTTCATAGCAGTTAAATTTTCTTTATGTTTCTTTGAATTCTCATGATTGGCAAAAGCTTTATGCGTTTTAAAGATTTTATTGCAGGCAACACAATAAAGAGTATTATCATCAATATCATTTTCAGTTTCTGAATCTTTGTCGGAAGATAATTCTTCACCAAATTCAGCAGCAAGATTAGCTTCAATATTTTTAAGTTCCGCTTCGACGTTTGAAAATTTGGACCATTCAACTACGGTATGTTGTTTTAAATGTTTCTGCCTCTCTAACAATTGCATTCTTTTACGTTCTTCTGTCTTTTTCAAATTCTCCTTGGCACGTTCCTGAAGCAATGCAACGTGCGCTTGTACTCTCTTATCGCGTTTTCTAATAAACGCAACCAAATTTCTAACTTGTTCGTTCCTTTCGCGTTTAGCTTTTTCGCGTACCTTTTTATTTTCTTTTTCAATAAGTCTAACTATTCTTCTGTTAGGTGCATGTCGAATATCATGCGGATCTAACCAAGCGAAAGATCTCTTTGTACTGTAACTTTGCCAATAAGCATAAAAAGGATGTACCACATCTTCATAAGAACTTTGAGAATTTCCAAAATTAGGTACTTCTTCATCGGAATCACCTTCCAATACAAATTCATCATCCTCTGCTACTAATTTCTCAAAAACTGTTCTGTATACAGTGTAAAAACCTTTTTCATCGTCATTATAACCTTGAAAGCAAGTAGTTGTAAAATATTGAAATAGATCAATCGAATCATCTTTATAATCTTCTCCAATGCCACCTTTCAAAATAGCATCTCTATGGTTATCGTACCATGTTCGTTCATGAGGATCACTTAATATCTCCCATGCTTGTTGAACTAATTGAAATTGTTCTTTAGCTTCTTCTGGAGCATCTAAATTTTTATCTGGATGCCATTTCAGTGCTAATTTTCTATATGCTTTTTTTAATTCATCATCTGTGACATTTCTTGATACACCTAATACTTCGTAATGACACTTCATTGTAATATTTTCTCTTGAATTTAATAACAATAATATTCATATAAATAATATTAATGATTTTTTCTTAATAATAAAATATATATATGTATATATATGTGTGTGTGTATGTGTGATATTTATTCTATATTATTCTAACAATGATATTTTTCGCAAGGACATTTTTTTCTTTTATATTTTACATTGATCATTATGCACATATTGATGGATTAGAATCTTACCGAATATTAGCGAACACCAGTCGATCGATCGTCTTCGATAATATAACTGATAATAATATAAACTTTTTAATTGTAAATATAATAATTGTTAATTGTTTTCAATAATATCTTTTTACATTTTTACGCAACGCATTATTTTAGAATCTTGCATGCTCTTGCGTTAATATTTACAGCTTACATTTGTTACTATGTTCAGATTATAGGGTTAACATTTTTTATTAGCTTGAATATAGTCACAAGTGTGACTAGTTCTGGAAAGATTTTAAAACATTATTTTATTTCTTAATTTAAAGCGTCATATTATTTTAATTTCGAAGAAAAATATTATAAAACGATTGAAAAGTTTTCCGGTGATTTAAAATCATTTAAAATATTATTCGTTATTATTAAAAAGAAATTAAATGAATGCTCGTTAATTATCAATATGTCTCAATATGTCTAGGGATATTTTGACATAGAACAGCTGATCGTTAGTCCATTCAAGTGATACAATCTTCACGTCAAGATGGCCGCGATCGTAAAAGTGCAGTAAGGAAGGAGGGTTTTTCGGCATATTTGGCCAATTTTGACGTTTTAAGTAGCTGTCAGCGTTAATCGATCTATCTGGTAAATATTATCAACATTTTTATACGTTTCATTTCAAATGAAATAAATGTTAATAATTTTAAATAGTATAGAAAATAAATGTCAAGATCATTGGGGGGGGGGAAGGAGAATTGTCAGTGACATCTTGCGAATTTAATATAGCAGACGCCTTCAATTCAATTGCTTTTGATAATTCTTTATGATTATAAATGATTATTGTTTCAATATGATACCAATGACACGGACATTATTTTCTTCAGTATTTATTTGACATAACCTAATTTCTTTAAATTTAACATTTTATTAATGTCAATGTAAGTATGTCAAGATTATGATAAAAATCTATCATTAATTTGTCGTTTATTTATCATTGAGTTATCTTATTCCTATCTAACAGTAGTTGGTTCGTTAATCATGTTTACAATAATAAACTTATATTAAACTTACAAAATTATTAATTGTTATTTTGTAACCAAAATTTTAATTACAACATTAGAAGCTTTTTTTTTTTTTTCTTAAATTCTTAATAATAAACACAAATTGATATGACATTCAATAATTTGTGTAACAGTCATTTATATTTCAATAAAATATTTCCTTCAAGTTAAATTGATTGTCATTATTATTATTATTATTATTATTATTATTATTATTATTATTATTATTATTGTTATTTAATTATTTTTCTACGATTTCTCGGGTATATATTAGCGTGTCAGACAGGCCAGGTCTGACAGTTTTAATCTTCAGAGTTTAGGAAGGCTCTGGTTGTGTTGTATGTTTTTAATATAACCGCCTTTTGTATTTCTTGGTGTATGTTTGGATCTAGTTGTAATTGTGTGAGATTATTATTATTATTATTATTATTATTATTATTATTATTATTATTATTATGTATACAAATTAAATTTTCAGATATAACTTCAATATGACAGCGGGTACAAGTTTAGTAGTCCCTATAGTATTATGGGGCCGAATAGCACCAACTCATTGTATTTCTTGTGTTTATTTATCACGAGATCAAAAAACTTTAGTTACTGGATGTTACGATGGTCAGATATGTTTGTGGCAAGTTGATCCTGAAACACTTAAGGTAATTATTATATTATTTGATTATCGTTTCTCATTCTTTCATTTCATTTATCTTCAATATTCATTTGAATTTGATTTATATTGTTTTTAGATGACACCAAGATGTTTACTCGTTGGTCATACTGCTCCAATAATGTGCCTAAGTCGTGCCAGCGTTATCAAGGAGCAAAATTATATTGTCAGTAGCAGTGAAAGCGGAGAGATGTGTACTTGGGACTTGGTTGATGGAAAATGTCGGGAAGCTGTTAAACTTAACTACATTCATACGCAAATGTTGCCTTATGTCTCAGCTGGTGGTGAAGACGTTAGATTGTTTTGTTCTGGGTATGTTAAATTCATTTCTATATTTATTTGAACTTTTCTTATGACTCAAACATAAAAGTTGTAAATCATAATGCAAGGAATTAAGAATGTACAAGAAGAAAAAAAGAAAAAGAAAAAGAAAATCTAACATTTTATATTGTTTTTTAATTATAGAAATTATCCAGAAGTTTTAGTAATGGACCCATTTAGTTTGGAAGTTCTATTCACGCTGAGTTCTCAAGTGAATCCTGATTGGATTAGTGCTTTGCACGTTCTACGGCCGGCCAAACGGAAAGGTCGGTTCTACGTGCATACAAGTTAGTTACACTTCATCACACCTACGCTTATACCATATACAATGCTATCTTATCTTCTACCAATCTTTTATCAATTTGTATTATGCGCATATTTGTTTATTTCTTTTTTGTTTTTCTTTTCTTTAACAAAAAGAAACTGAACAAACGAATAATGAAGTTGATATTGCATATATCAGTTTCATTTGTCTCTATATAATATTACGTTAATATTTATTATTATTATTAATTTAATTAGTCATTTTTATACAATTGACTATTTATTTAATCGCACATAATACTTTTTGAGTAATTTAAATATTATTTTTTTTTTTTTCTAATGTTTCTCCCTTGAGAATAAGTCTTTTTTTGAATTCATTTTGTTTCTCTTTTTTATATATATATATATTATATATATATTTTTTTCTTTTTTTCTTTTGTAATGCGGAAAACATCAGTATAACAAATATAGAATCTAAAAATAGATATAATATTGATGACATTTTTTTTCATTTAACAAATTTATTAAGGACCATCGAATTTATAAGGGTATTAAGTGATTTATATATATATATATTTGATTTATATATTATTATTTTTAATCTAGTACTGGTGATTTATATTATATATATATATATAATACAGTTAGAATTTTAATCTAAATTACATTGTTGCAGCATGTAAATGCGAGTGGATACAAGCCAGTGTTAAAACACTGATGTTCAACGCTATAAATCACTTCTATCATCAATTATTTTTCTTAATATTATACTTTATTCATAAATTTTCTCTTTGTCTGTCTCTCTCTCTCTCTCTCTCTCTCTCTTTCTTCTCTCTCTCTCTCTCTTTTTTTTTTTATCTATCTATTTAACTTTTGTGCCATTGGTAGAAAATGAGTCTATAACACTAATCCTCGCACTATTACATTAACACATACTATTCATGCTTCTTTTCATCAAACGTTACATCTTACATTTTAATCTATCGGTAGAATATACATTACAAATATACTGACATGCATTTACTTAATTCCTCATACTAATTTTTGATATACTGTACCTATCGTAAGTATATACTAATAATATCTATATATATATATACCTATACATATTTTTTACGTCTTAAACTTATCTGTAAATATAATTATATTAAACTTATAAGGGTTTGTTGTCTTTGTTAGGGTTTAACCGTTTGAGTCCCAAATAATGTAATTGTTTCATGTTATTTAAATGCAATATGCAATTTATTCATGATCTTGGGTAATTTGTCTACATAATTTTTTTGTCAAGACCACATCAGGACTTAAATGGTTATGCAACCAAGCATGTTCAATATCTCATTTTGTTTTTCCTTTTTTTTGTTTTTTTTTTTGTTTTTTGTTTAATTCTTTCTTATGATAATATACTAACATCCTAAATTAGGGAGCTTTTATTTTTCATTGGAGTATTGTTACACATATGTGAAATATAATTAGATTATTAAATATATAATATTAATATATTATATTTATTATAATTAATTTATTATAATTATTATATTTATAATATAATATATT